CTTTAATTCTTTTAATATTCAGCCGCTTTTTCATTTCTCTGTTGATTAGCCTCATATATTCATTTCTTTATTCATTTTCTTACCCTTCACTTTTTATAATCTCTTCTGAAGTCCCAACTGCCCCTCTTTCTCTCTCTCAGACCCCTCACAAGCCACAACACAGGCAGATATAAATTTTGTAAATCAAGTAGGCTTTGGGTTATGCAAACCCACGTTAAAGACCCATCTTTCATGGATTTCTTACCTCCTTGGTACTTGTATTTTCTCTCTCTACCCTCCCTCTGCCTCCTATATATCTATTTCTATGTAAATTCTATTGAGTTCTATCTTTAAGTGTTGGGAGGTTGAAAAAATTGTCTTTCAGGTGAAGGGGAAATGGGTTCTTGGAGCTAGTGAGGGCTTTATCTTTTGCTGTTAAGGAAACGAACAATAGCTATGGATGCTTCTTGTTTAGAGGGTAAAGATTGAATGTTTTTCCAATTTTTGTAAATACCTTGTTCTGGTTTTTTTGGGTTTTCCATTTTCTCATATGGGTTGTTCTTATGCTTTCGTTGAACGATTGTTCTTGTTTTCACTACGTTGATGTGAAAAAGATTTGATTTTTATTCTTATATCTTGTTTTATGTGATTTTGCGAATCATGGGATGTTTGATTTTTTAGTCGATCTGTTTTGTGGTCTGATTCGCTCTTGATTTGGTTGTCTGTTGAATTGATCGTCACTGTTGTATTTAATTTATTTTCTTCGATGGAATTGGCACACACTCCTTTGTTACTTTTATCTTTTTGTATATGTGTATTTTATTTGCCTTCCCTTTTTTCATATTAAGAAAATCATATTAAGAAAAAGAAGGTCTAGACTTTGAGGAATACCTACTCTAATGATTTTTTTTTTTTTAATGCTCCATTGTTTGTTTTCAAAGATGCTTGTGAGAAAAGTGAACACTGTAATGGGTTTCAATTCAAGATCTCGTTTTTTTACTTGATGTCATCAATTTGATTCTCATGGACTTGTGAAGATGGTTAGCTGTGAGGGTTGAAGTAATTTGTTCGAATAATATTCGGTTAATATATTATATTTTCTCTTTCGGCTTAAAACGTTCTTTCTTCTCGGTAAACACATGGGCAATGGTGTTCATAGATGAGTATCTGTTGCTTCCCTGTATTTTAAAATAACTTTATCCCCTCCAAATCAATGTCTGTCAATGAGCTGTTTTGACTTCAATTCAATGTGCCCTTCCATTGTCTTATTTTTCTTTCGGTCTTTGGTTTTTTGGATACCATAATGTAACTAAGCATAGCAGTGGTATTTTTCTCTGTTAGCATCCAAATGATACCTTATACAGATATCTCAACACTTAAAGTCTAGACTTTCATTTAAATGTGTAAACAATTAATACTATATTGCCGAGTGGCGAGTGCTATATAGTTTTTTTTTTTTTNTTTTTCTCCCCTTTTCTCTTTTGAACACTCTAGTTCTATTCGACCCATCAAAATGCAGCAAGCTGAGCATAGATCAAAAGCGAGAACTCGTTCATGAACTCTCAAAGTGGTCAGATGGAGCCATCGAAATTCTACACACTTGGAGCCGACATGATATACTTCAGATTCTCTGTGCCGAGCTCGGCAAAGAACGAAAGTACACCGGCCTAAACAAAACCAAAATAATCGAACAACTTCTCAAAATCATCCAAGAAAAGAAAAGAGATTCAAATTCAACTGCTCCCGAAATAATACAACAGCCTCTGTCAGAAAACGACGAGACCATGAATGTGGGCCCACATGACATCACCACGGTGCATTATTGCAAGAATTCTGCTTGCCGGGCTAAAATGAGCCGTGAGGATGCATTTTGCAAGAGGTGTTCGTGCTGCATTTGTAGCGAGTATGATGATAATAAGGACCCTAGCCTTTGGTTGGTTTGCAATTCGGAGTCTCCTTTTTGTTCTGTGTCCTGTGGGTTATCGTGCCATCTTGAATGTGCCTTGCGGCATAAGAATTCTAAAGGGTCATCGTTAGATGGAAGCTTTTTTTGCGCATCTTGTGGGAAAGTGAATGATTTGCTCGGGTAAGTTGACTTTTTTTTTTTAACACTTTGTTCTTTCTCTAGTGCAAAATTTTCTTGGGGTGTTACATTATAAGATTATTGTTNAAGATTGACGTAAAATGATGTATAAAGGTAGAAAAAAGGCTTTAAGGTAATAAGTCGAGAGGTGTAATATGTTAATATGTTCAATAATATGCTTGTTCAGTGTATGGGAATTTTTTTAGTGTTATTTCATTGCATTTTTGCCTATCTTCAATTAATCTTCGATCTTAGGCCATTTAATTATCATGATAAAAATAATATTGCAGCTCTTGGAAGAAGCAACTGATTGTGGCTAAGGACACTAGACGAGTTGACATATTGTGCTATAGGCTGTGTTTAGCCCAAAAGATTCTTGATGGTACTAAATTATACCAGAATCTTCGTGTAAGCATTGATGAAGCAGTGAAGAAGCTCGAACAAGAAGTGGGCCCACTCACGGGCTTGCCAGTGAAGATGGCCCGTGGTATCGTTAACAGGCTTTCGTTGGGCCCTGAAATTCAAAGACTCTGTGCTGATGCTTTGAAGTCTCTGGACTTAATGCTTTCTGCTAGAGAATCTGATACATTTTCTGGTACTATCTCTGACCGTTTTTTTTTTTTTTTTATTTTAAAAAAAAAATTGTTACTTTGATTTTGCAATTCAAATATTTTGCACAGCCGAATAATTGTGTTAGTCATTACGAGTGATAAATGTTAATTTCGTGTTAGATTGCACTGCACTCGCCTCGAAACTCGTCAGAATCGAAGACGTAAATAATACTTCGTCAGTCACGGTGGAAAATGAGACGACCAATAACGTCATGCCATGTGGCATTGACAATTATGATAAAACCAGCGAACCGAATTTGTCGATCGACTGCTCGGATAATATGACCAATAATAAAGTAAACACCTTGTCGAACGCATTGCAAATCACTCCTCAGAAGATTGAGGAGAAGTTGAAAAGCGAAAACTTTTCCAAGAAAAAAAACAGGCGAAAAACCGAGCCTCAAGCTGGTGGTAGCTCGTCTAAAAAAAGAAGGGATAATCGAGAAGGGGATTGTAATGATGATGACATTGAGGAAAAAAAGGATTTCGAGTATTACGTGAAAGTTATCCGGCGATTGGAGAGTGACGGTTATATTGAAACCGGTTTTAGGCAGAAGTTCTTGACGTGGTATAGTATGAGGGCAACTTCTCGAGAAGTTCGGGTTGTGAGAGTTTTTATAGACACGTTTCTGGAAGATTCCGAGTCGTTAGCTGGCCAACTTGTGGATGCATTCTCGGATTTCGTTTCGGATAAGAAGTGCTCGAGCTCGAGTTCGATCGTGCCAGTCGGTTTTTGCAAGAAGTTGTGGCATTGAACTT